TCTTTTTACCTTTCCCATTATTTTCCTCAGATGTACATTGCTATAGGTTATATATATATATATATCCAAGACTAACCATTCTTTTAAATGTCTCCTTGAATTACGTCGATGTGTTGGAAGAGTACAAAGCGGGGTGTGATTGGCTCTGTAGAATCTACAGTGTGATGGGGTGGCTGGCGCAGCGTCCGGCCTTTTTTGCCAAATGTCGCGCAATTTTCCCGCGGAAAGTGGCTTGGCCTTAAGAATATGGCCGCCATAACACTTAAGTTTACGAATATTGTAGCCACTGCCAAGTGTCCACAGTGTTGGTCCGATTTAATGGAATGGGAAAGCTTTGCCAAATACACATAATAATGAAATGCATATACATATATATATATATATATATATATATATATATATATATATATATATATATATATATATAACGTTAAGTATTCTGAACGCGCGCATTCAAGTACAATGTAACATGTGAGTTTTACATTACTCCGACGACCTTCGTAAATAGATATAGACGGTTTTATTTCTTAGAATAATCTTGTATATGAACAGACGTAAATGTAGGCACATGTAATTGAACATATTAGACAGATGAGAACAGAATGATAACGAAATTCTTGAAGATAGTCGGGGAATCAAGGATGTATTCTTGGAAGTTAGGCCTTAATATTTGCGTGGCGGGGAGACAAGATTTATATGCAATAATTGATTGACATTTATATACTAAATATATATCTTATTGCATATAAAAAATTAATGGTAATTTTTTAATTTTTCCATTTGATGTTTACCTTCATAATTCAAATATACCGAAATTTTTTCTGACGACACTTGTTCTGTATATAATTAATGAGTAATGCTGTTTTTGATTCATGACCATTGACTATACCTTTCTTACTGATTTTTTTTAATATAATTTTTTATCAAAATAATTAACTATATATTACTATATTATCTCTCTGTAATTATTTAAATTGATCGGACTGTTGTCCTCAGCTTCATTGCTATATTCACGATGTTTCGACCGTTGTACGCTCAGGACTTCTTCAGGTGACTAGAATTTTGGATTGAACCATTTATTTCGTCCATCCGGGTAGATTGTTCTCGTTCCACGTGACATGCCGAACGTCGCAGTATCAGTTATCCCCCTTTAACTCTCCTGCTTCTTCAGGATCTGTCTATATTTCTGGGATTGGAGACTGTCACGACTGAAACTATTCACATCGTTCGGACTGTTGTCCTCATCTTTATTGACATGTTCACGACGTTTCGACCATTGTCTGCTCCGTGGATAAAAGCGTTGGTTGAATCGAGTGACTTGACAAAGAGTTGTGGGTTCAATACCTGGCTGCAACAGGTGAAAAAAAAAAAAACTTGGAGGATTGTGTAAAAGGGAGATAATTGATAGTGAGACGTCCGTAAGTGATATGGCATGTGGAAAGCGGACAATTTACCGCGATGGCCGAAAAGTAGCGTTCAGTTCGAAATTCCAATCACTTGAAGAAGGCCGAAGAGTACAACAGCCGAAACGTTGTGAATTTAGAAACGAAGATGAGCAAATAGTCCGAACAATGTAAATAGTGAACGTAATATAGTAAGTCACTACCAGTCCACGCTTCGATAGAAATATCTCCCGCTTAATAGTTAGACATTAGCTAGATGAAGACCACATTGCCACTTCCCATTAGTGGGGAGGTATTTATGCCGCACCCTTGTCTTTTCAAACTTTATTTGACAAAAGCTTAATTGACTCTACGGTCTTAACTGTTCTCTCTCTCTCTCTCTCTCTCTCTCTCACACACAGATTTTATTGTTTATTAATTATATTTCCTCTGTAATAATAAATACCTTCAGCTCTTTTTTGTGGATCAGTTTTAATATTTTTGCATTACTAGGATCCACTTGGATTATATACCAACAGATTTTTATCTTTCACACACACATATATATATATATATATATATATATATATATATATATATATATATATATATATATATTTCATTTTTTTTTTTTTTTTTTATTTTATCTGCTTTTTATTTTTTTATTTTTATCTGTTTTTTAAGTTATGTTTAAGTTTTCATGTTATCTAATTTTATCTATTATCTTATCTATTTATCTTTTTTATCTATTTTTATCTTTTATATATCATCTATTTATCTTTTTAATGTTTTTTTAATGTTTTTATGTTTTTTTAATGTTTTTATGTTTTTTTAATGTTTTTATTTTTTTTAAATATGCTAAATTTGTTTTTATGTTTTTGTTTTTAATGTTATGTTTTCTTCTTTTTCTTAATTTTTTTCTTTTTCTTAATTTTTTTCTTTTTCTTAATTTTTTTCTTTTTCTTAATTTTTTTCTTTTTCTTAATTTTTTTCTTTTTCTTAATTTTTTTCTTTTTCTTAATTTTTTTCTTTTTCTTAATTTTTTTCTTTTTCTTAATTTTTTCTTTTTTTTTTAATTTTTTTTTAATTTTTTTTTAATTTTTTTTTTCTTTTTTTTTTTTTTATCTTTTTTTTATCTTTTTTTTATCTTTTTTTTATCTTTTTTTTATCTTTTTTTTATCTTTTTTTATCATGATTTATGTTTTTTAAATATGTTTTTTTTTAGTTTTTTGTTTTTTTAGTTTTTTGTTTTTTTAGTTTTTTGTTTTTTTTGTTTTTTTAGTTTTTTGTCTTTTCTTTTTTTTATTTTTTTTTTTTTTTTTTTTTTTAAAATTTTGTATATTTTTATATATTCTGTATTCTTATGATAATACACTTTCCGGAAGTAGGTGGTAATGACTCTTCACAGCTTTCTTTGACTTATATGAGACAGCATTTTCCATTTGCCTTCTTCATGGTTCTAAATTACATGTTTAGAACGTAGACGACCATAACACTCCACATCTTCTTTTATCTATTGGTGACTTCCTGTAAAGAATATGGAATGATTTCCTGATGCCATTTTCTTGGTTCTATTTTTATTTGACAGCTATTCAAGGCTCGAGAGTCATATCGTAATATTTAATCCATAGCCACTCTGCTAAAATAGAGGGATTTGACTTCTACTGGATAATTAATATGAATTATTTGTCTTGGTGGTTATCTGATGTAATATTGTTTTAGACATAACAAGAACCTTCACCCCCACCCCATTATCTCCCCCTCCCTCCGTCCCGTCCAACAGTAAATTACTGGGGGATAAAGCGTTAACGGCAAGAGGAATTTTGCAGCTCAATATTAAAAAAAAAAAAGCAACGATACTTAATATTAGTTACCACCAAATATTCACTGAAAATGAGCATAACATGATGGGAAAATGACCCAAACTTAATAAAGACAAAGTTTTATTGTCAAAATCTTTATTATGAAGAAGAAAGACCACAGGATATTTTTATTTATGTTTTATTTTTACCCCTTTTTAGATCGTTAAAAATTTTGGTTAAAACTTCTTATGACAACAGGGAAAAAAAAGATATTACTATTGTAAATTCTAGCGTCTTTTTAAATGTTTCTATGTTTTGTAAAGTCTTGGTAAAAACATTTTTTCTTGCGATTGTTTCTTTTTTCGCTTTCTGTTACTTTTTTCGCTTTCTGTTACTTTTTTCGCTTTCTGTTTCTTTTTTCGCTTTCTGTTTCTTTTTTCGCTTTTTCTCTTCTCTTTTTTTTTTTTTTTTTTTTTTTTTTCTTTTCTTTTTTTTTTTTCTTTTTTCTCTTTTCTTTTTTTTTTTCCTTTTTTCTCTTCTCTTTTTTTTTTCCTTTTCTCTTCTCTTTTTTCCTTTTCTCTTTTTTCTTCTTTTTTCCTTTTCTCTTTTTTCTCTTTTTTTCCTTTTTCTCTTCTCTTTTTTTCTTCTCTTTTTTTTTTCGCTTTTTTTTCTCTTTTTTTCTTTTTTTTCACTTTTCTTTTTTCTTTTTTTCTTTTTTTCTTCTCTTTTTTTCTTTTCTCTTCTCTTTTTTCCTTTTTCTCTTTTTTTTTTTTTTTCTCTTTTCTCTTTTTTTCTCTTTTCTCTTTCTTTTTCTTCTTTTTTTTTCTCTTTTCTCTTTTCTCTTCTCTTTTTTCTCTTTCTCTTTTCTCCTTTTCTCTTTTTTCTCTTTTTCTCTTTCTTCTCTTTTTTTTTTTCTTTTTTTTTCTTTCTTTTTTTTTTTTTTCTTTTTTTTTTTCTTTTTTTTCTCTTTTTTCTTTTTTCTTTTTTTTTTTCTCTTTTTTTTTTTTTCTTTTTTTTTTTTTTTTTTTTTTTTTTTTTTTTTCTTTTTTTTTTTTTTTTTTCTTTTTTTTTTCTCTTTTTTTTTCTTTTTTTTCTTTTTTTTTTTTTTTTTCTTTTTTTTTTTTTTTTTTTCTTTTTTTTTTTTTTTTTTTTTTCTCTTTTTTTTTCTCTTTTTTTTTTTTTTTTTTTTTTTTTTTTTTTTTTTTTTTTTTTCTTTTTTTTTTTTTTTCTTTTTTTTTCTTTTTTTTTCTTTTTTTTTTTTTTTTTTTTTTTTTCTTTTTTTTTCTTTTTTTTTTTTTTTTTTTTTTTGTTTCTATGGTTGTGAATACTTGATTCCTCATAGATAAAAAAAAAAAAAACGTGACTTGAAGCAATATTGAGATTACCATGGCC